TTCCCAAAACTGCTCTCGGATATAAGTGGGCTTAGACATGTCTGGGGCGTAGACCCCTAACACAAAACAACTTCTTTAAGCCCACTTTCATTCGTATCCATAGCAGTCTTGGGCTTACACATTCATACTCTTTCACACATTGGCCCATTCTTTCTGAAAGGATGACACCTACTCCCTGGCATGCCCGCTCGATCTCGTCTACACCAGACCAGTATGCGGTATACATGCCATGTGTAGTGACATCCTTCCCCTTCCTTTTCGTCTTATTTACGCATAACACATCTATTCCTCTATCATACATCATATCGCATACTTCATCCATTTTATCATTCATTGCCCCACATACATTCCACGTAGCCAGACGGGCCTCTGCAATCCACTTTTCGCCTCTCCGGGAGACAGAACGCGACGGGTGGCGAACCTCGTCGCCGGTTTTCCTCCCGGAGATTCTTCGCACCCCTGCCCCATTAAAAGGGAGCCGGGAACTCGGGGCCATTTCTTTATTTCGATTCCTCATGGTGCGAAATGGGGTGGTATATTTAACGCCGCTACCACGACGTGGAGCCGAGTCTGTGGTATCGGCATGTCGCTCATTTAGCACCACCCGGGGGACACGTGTAGGGTGGGCCTAGGAACAGTTGGTCAAAGACTACGGACGCGAGCGACTTATCCCCCTTAATTATAAATGGTTTATAACAATAATAATAATCTTTATTTACTTTATTTGCAAGAATATGGTAGTAAAATGGTGTTCAAGTACCTATAATTAAAGCTAATATTCTACCTTAGTGCTGTGCAAATATATAATAGTTAATTAACGATAACAATATTTATCGATTTTTTAGAACACATAAATTATTTAATATTATTCAAATGATTTTTAATAGGATAAGTGTGACAAGCGAGCACACAGTCCACCTGATGGTAAGTGGTTGCTGTGGCCCATAGACATCTGCATCTATCCTCGTTTGCGAATCAAAATGAAGATGCGTTATCAGTCTTGAGGACTAAGATGGAACGCCTCTTTTCCAGCAAAAAGGGTCTCCGGTTCTATACACTCACCATATGAAACCCAGCAGCATCAAGCTGCTATTTGACGCTGGTATTTTGTGAGAGCGTGGTCCTTCCCCGGTCGAGTCGACCCATTCCTCAAAGTTCACTAAAGCTGTGAGTGGTGGGCCGGCTCACAGAGCTGTCTCACCGTCTGTATCTTTGTACTGAGCAGTCCAAGCTTTTAGCCTTCCTGTCCGAGTGATTGCGGAATTGAATGTCACTCGCTATGTTTTTGCCAAGAATTCCGATACTAGCCAAGGTAACGATGGCATTGATCTGAAGTTGTGAAGATACCAAAAGGGGCAGAAGAGAAACCTTACAGCGTAGTATTAGTCTCTCCTCGTTTTAATTCAGACTACTTCTACAGCATTTATTTTATACTACATATAAGGTAAAAATAAATTATATATTCGAATAGAAAGCAAATTACATCTTCAAATCCTTTCGAAATCGTGATAGCTTTGCCGAGACAGATTTTACTCACAGGATCTTTTTCGATCTGAAATGAGATTTCATGCTGCCTCACGTTGTAAACGCTCTAACATAATGTATGTATATAAAACCTATATATAAATTGCTCGAATATACAAAGTTTTTCGTCCTTAAATATTGTTTATTGAATTTTTTTTTTCAGATAATATTCGTATGAGTTCGTATAATTGCTTCTATTCTTATTTTCCATGTAGAAAAGATTCACCTAAATTACTGGCGAATATGTTTTACACATTTGAAGCTTTTCGTCATCGCAGTTATGGGTATTTTACATCTGGAATATAAGAGACAGTATGCTACTTTCTTATTATTCATCTCTTTCTGGTATTTTCACGCCTACTATCTACTTGAAGAAATGTACTGATAGATTTTCTTAAGCCACCACCACATGGTAATACAATTTTGGCGAACTAAGTATCTGGAATGAAAATTATTTATGTATATAAATTAAAATGGTATTTAATTGATTGCAAACCGGCATAAAACTAAAACTAATAAGATGATTTCTTCTCATTTGTATTTATATGCAGCACATAATAGGTACTCATCATCATTACACATTATTACACGTTTTCTAGTGAACATAAGCCTCTTTAAAGTCCATCAAAAAATACTACACCTATCGATTTTCGGTTCTTTAAACAATTTCGCGGGACTACTGCTACTATTTACTCCTGATATAGTTCGTTTTTTTTAAATGATAAGGGGCAAACGAGCATGTGACTCATATGATGTTAACCCTTCAATCCCCATAAAATTCCCATGCAGTCGCATGCACCTGGCAAATAACGAGCGGTCGCACCCACCCACAGCAATTAAAACCATTAAAACTTATATTTAGATACTATTTTTTTATGAAGAAGTTTGGCATTATAAAATCTATACAAAATTTTCTATTCTGTGGTCTAAACAAAAGTCAGGTATATTTATACTTCATAAGAAAAAGATTTTATTGTATTTTGATAACAAAAAACAACATACCAAGCGGAAAATCACAATTATTTCTATATATTACTCGAAATTATTCACGTAAAAAGATAAATTATATTCACAGAAAAAGTTTAAAACTCTAGAAAAATGGCGTAGGTAATGTACGTAGAATATAAATTGATATCCAAAGACAAACTGTTTTTTTATTCCACTAGAGGATAGGAAATTTCATATTGGTTATATAATGCCAAACATCTTCATATAAAAGTAGTCTCTAAACATAAAGTATTCATGGGATAAATTGCTGTGGGTGGGTGCGGTCAAATTTGACCTCTTGAATTTTGACGGAATATCGAAGCGGTCAAATTTGGATGCTTGGCGTTTGAGAGGTTAAGTGACTACCGCCACCATTGAACAACTGCGACACCAGAGGTATTTCAGATAATACAGAACAATTCCTATGAGCATTCCTCGTAGTAAATACGATAGGAAATGCAAATGCGATCAGAAAGAACTTGGCCGTCAACAATTCGAGCTGCTCTTTTCTAAATATGGTCAACTGGAATGAGCATTGGGGTGCCTTGGTCAAAAGATTATTCCAGCATTTCACTAGAGACCGAACATGCGCCTTATAAAATTGCAATTGGTGTGCCAGCATGAAGTACTGAATAAAATATAGAAAACTAAACCGCGGAACGAAACTTCACTCGATATGTCGACGCCGTGGACCCCGATGTTGGTTGCGGCTGAAAAGAGAGTGCCCTAAAATTAAGGAAATTCGACATTGAGATCTTTTAGCGATAAACGTGCAAATCTGTATCTTCTAGGAGTTAAACTGTACAAGATTTGTCGTTCCCAATCCGAGACCTAGTTTAACAAAGACTTTACTTCAGACACAAGTTTGTTCTGGCACTCGATAACGTGCTCCCGAGAAATATTGAAACAACCCGTGTAAGAAGTTATCACATAACATTAACATCCAGCATAGCGCATTCACACTACGAGATGATTAGTGGTGTGTTATTATTATCATCAGAGTCGAGTAGGACACAAAGAGAGAGCCTAAGGGTTGGCTTTCTCCTTTGCATCATGGCCCAGTGAGTTGCTGAGTGGACAGATTTGGCAAGAGACCAGAATACATGGAATAATTCGGCCAATCTGCTCTAATTTTACTCTGGCAATAATTATTTTTAAGGACCTAGAAGCGAAATTATATATTTTTAAGAGAGCTAGTCTTTAAATAGGTGCAGGCCTGCCAAACAACCCCGCTTATAGCGTGATCCATTTTTACAGGAGCGACCAAACCAATTTCGATTATTCGAGTTTCGATTTATTTTGCTTATTCTGATCTCCGGTTTTTGTCAAACTATATTTTTATTTTCTATATAATTAAATTAAAAATTTATTCACTAAATGTTTTTATCTTTTAACGCGGGCTCCACACTCCTATGTGATTCACGGCGTGAATTCACGCCGTAATTTTGCCACGAAGTCGTCGTGAAAAATATGTCCCTCCACATTCGCACCGTTCACAGCAAGGAACATACTACTCGTTCACAGTTTACTTCGCGCGCTCGTCGAGAATGGACGCCGAAATATGCACTGCTATCGCCGTTACGCTATGCGCTTTGGCTCACTACAATTACGTGTATATAAAAGATAAAAAAAAAATAAAAAAAAATGGAGAAGAAGAAGATGGTGGATGACAAAGATACATCGAAATAGAACAAGGTAGGTGGTACCTATGATGAGTGTCGATTCAGATGGCGTAAAAGAACTGTTAAATAATTAGTTCAGTCCTGTCAGACACAAAAAACTGTACGGGCTTGTAATTGCAGGACTAAACTATTTTTAAAGTTAAAGATTATTTGCGTGGTAGAGCCATGTTGCAGTTATATTAGTAGTATAGTTGTAGCACGAATGGGCCGGCTCGACCGGGGAAGGATCACGCTCTCACAGAATACCAGCGTCAAATAGTAGCTAATTCTTTTGTGTTTCGTATGGTGAGCGTAGAGAACCGGAGATCCTTTTCACTTAATATTAATTTATTATATATTTATTAATTTTAATATTAATTTCTATTTTATTTTATACTAACATTTCGTCAAGGTTTGTTTTACTAACAATCTATGACTATTGTTGGTCGAAATAAAGGATTTTATTTATTTTTGTTATTATTTACTGGAAACGAGGCAGTCCATCTAAGTCCTCACGGATGACAACGCATCTGCGTTTTGATTCGTAATAGAGGATAGATGTATATGTCTATGGGCCACAGCAACCACTTACCATCAGGTGGACTGTGTGCTGGTTCGTCATGCTATCCTATAAAATAAAAAAATAAGGATTCGGTTAAAGCATTTGCTATTCAAATTGACACCATTGTCAATAAACATATTAACCTTTTACCAAACGGGACCGCAAATATATCGCAAGTGTTAAGCTTGACATGCACTCGATATAGTACTATTTTATTGCACACAAAACGAGTTTTATGGGGTCATTTTATTTGTTGCAGCTTAACTATGGAAAACCAATTGATGGAATTAGTTGCCGAACCTTCCGGTGAATTTAAAAAGTTTACTCGAATGTCTTTAGAAGATTTTGAGTACTTACTAAATAAGGTTTCACCAGTGATTATGAAACAAGATACTCAACTGCGAAAAGCAATTCCAGCTCGAATGCGTCTCGCTGTCACGTTAAGATTCTTGGCTTCTGGAGATAGTTATGAAAGCTTGCATTTCTTATTCAAAATTTCACCTCAATTAGTTTCGGAGATCATACCTGAAGTATGCCTGGCTTTGAATCAAGTCTTGAAGGAGGAAGTTAAGGTAATAAAATAAAATTTTACTTGAAATCGTGTTTATTTATTTAAAATGGAAATAATCACTTATTATCATAACTGAATTAACTTATAAGTAGCTCCTCCAATAACTAAATATAAAAAGTGAATCATCTTTATCTTGATTATGTCAAGAGCACGGAAAGCTTCAGACTTTGAAATATGTAATGTTTTTCTTATGCCATACATAATAATAGATAGAATAGAACTGAAAGAGTGAAGCTTGACATGCACTTGTCTGTACTTATTCTGAGATCAATCCTAATAAAAAAAAAAACATAATGAAACATAAAAAAATAGCAATGTTTTGGCTTACAGTTAGGCAAGATGAAATGCTTTATTTATTACATTTCTAAATTCAGTCTGTGCATCTTCTGTCACTCGATATGGAGTCTCTGTGTTTGCAAGATAGTGCGTGGCTGGAGATTCTACGTCATTGGATGTTACCATAAATCTCGAACTAGTGTTTCTACTATTTTCAGGATTGTGAATGACTTGAGGTTCTATAACTTCATCCGATGTTACCATAGCTCTCGAATCAGCGTTTTTGCTATAGTCAGGAATATGAATGCGTTTAGATTTTATTACTTTATTTGATGTTATCATAACTCTAGAACCAGTGTTTCTGCTATAATCAGTAACATGAATGACTGGAGGTTCTCCAACTTCATCCGATGTTACCATAACTCTCGAACCAGTGTATGTATTAGAGTCAGTATTGTGAGTGACTGAAAGTGGCGAATTATTCGTTGTATGCTCGGAATAAATTGAATGAGTTGTGCTAGGTCTCCCATATAGAGCAGTGGATGGAGGCGGAGATTGGTATTCAGAATACGTTGAGCGTGATGTGCTAGGTCTTTCATATAACGCAGTACATGGAGGTGGAGATTGGTGTTCAGAATACGTTGAACGTGATGTGCTAGGTCTCTCATATAACGCAGTACATGGAGGTGAAGATTGGTGTTCATAATATGTTGAAGGTGATGTGCTGGGTCTCCCATACTGAGCTGGGCTATTAGAGAATCTGTTGTATCGATTTCGACTATTTTGTTGGTGGCGTAAGAATATACCGTCTATTTTATACATGAAAGGTAATCTGTCATCTTCAGGTAATGTCTTTATTTTTTTGGATAACATTTTACCATATAGGTTATAAACATCATCTTGGTCGGAGTGGGATTCTTTTCTATTGATGGTTGATTGTAATGTAGCAAGAGCATCTTGTACGACTTTGCCGGCATCTTGAAGTTCAGGTGGATTGTTGCGCCGACGGATTGTGTGTGGTAACTTTTTTTGGTAATTCAGGTTGTGTACATCTTGTTGTTCTTTGACCTCTTTTTTTGTCAACCGATTCTTCCTCCTGAAAAAAATTGTAAAAAAATAATTATAACAATATTTTTTTTACTTTATTATTTTACAGATTCCATCGACCGCAGAAGAATGGCTAGATATCGAAAACGGATTTGCTCGTAAATATCCTCGTGCTATTGGATCCATAGACGGAAAGCACATCACTCTAAAATGTCCAAGTAACTTAGGATCAGAGTATTATAACTACAAAAAAACATTCAGCATAGTGTTGCTAGCATTGGTGGACAGCAGTTACAATTTTATTTTTGCAGATATTGGTTCTCAGGGCAGGATTAGTGATGGCGGAGTATTTCGGAATAGTTTGCTATGGCAAAAAATTTGCGCAAATGCTTTAAATATTCCTGAACCAAGCCCTCTCCCAGGCTCGATTGACGATGTACCGTACGTATTTTTGGGAAACGGTGCTTTTGCACTTACAGATCATGTGATGAAACCTTATCCAGGCAACCATGAATGTAGTTCTCCAAAACGTATATTTAACCAAGCATTGTCACGAGCACGTGTTGTTGTAGAGAATACATTCGGAATACTTGTGACGAAATTTCGTGTGTTTAAAAAACCGTTTCAGTTATGCCCAGAAAAGGTTTCTCTTATTACAATGACTTGTATATTGTTGCATAATTATCTCAGAAGGAGCAATACTTCGTTACCCATATATACACCGCCCGGGACCATCGACATGTATGATAACAATGACGTACTCATACACCCCGGTTCCTGGAGACAAGAATTGGAAAGCAATTCTGCTGTTCGTGATTTGCCACACATACCTCGTCGACCAGCTTCGAATGCGAGAGAAATAAGAGAAGAATTCACTAATTATTTTTTTGCACTAAACCAACAACAAAATATGCCTTAAGAGGAAACATCATGGCCGTTTTTCCATATAAACGTAGTTCCTTTTTCCTCCCTAGAAAATGCCAGCAGAGCAATATTTTTTTTCCAAGAAATCGTATTTGTAGTTTTTTTTGCAATTATCGCTTTCTCCTAGAAAAGCATCGATCGCGTCAAAAGCAAACCAAATGGGCTTATAAATTTCGTCACTGCTTGCTCCAGACTTCCTTTCGGAATCTTTCACCTTTTTCCTATAATTCCTATAACTGGATATGAGATTTTCTTTTTTTTTTAAATCAGTCACTTCAATGTTCATTATTTCCCTTATTCGTATCCATGCATCATGTACTTTTATTTTATTTTTGTGGTCTTTGTGTTTAGCATCCCATAAAATGGGTTCGGCATGATAACACTCGATCAATAAGAGTTCCTGCTCGTTCGTCCAACTGACGCTCATTTTGACGCACCGTCCTCCGTAAACAAATACTAATAAGCACAACCTTAACGCACCGAGTCCCGTACGTTACTGAGTTCACGCGCGAGTGTGGATGCGCTTGCGTTCACGGAAGGTTCACGTTCCGTAAACCCTTTGAAGCGGGCGCAAAATACCGACACTGGACGGGGAACACGGCGTGAAAAGGCGCGAAGCCCGTGAACGGGCGCGAAAGCCATCCACATTCGCGGTTCACGCCTTTCACGGGTGTTCACGGCGTGAATGTGGAGGGCGCTTAAGAAAAATAGTTGACATAATATAAAAACGCTTGTGTTGAAAACAAGCATTTTTCTTACCGCGACTTCCGAAATATACGTACATAAACTAATTTATTCTCACTTTATACATCATAATGTATTCGGTATTTACTTATGAAATTGTGATTATTTCTTTCACTTTATGAGCACTATTACCGCAATCCGAGACACTACAAATTTTTAAGTAAAGTAAATATCTTATAAAATACTAGAATGACATAATTAATTCTTTCATTTAATACTCCAACGAAGCTGAAAATGTTCATGCTACAAATAGAAGTGATTTTCGACAGTAGCAGAAAATTATATTCTAACTCACGACTTTTTGATATTGCAGCGTAGCCTATACCTTGAAGTTTAGGGTGTATGTTTAGGTTTAGGGCACAAACCAATAGGTAACTAATATATAGGAACAAAAATATATAAATAATTACACTCTCATTTAATTCTATGAAAACGAAATCCCAATTTTGTATGATACAAATGTTTGTAGAATTAAATCAATTAAGAAAAGAAGGAGGGATATTTTTAAAAACCTCGATAAATCCGAAAACCTAGTGAAAGCGTAACCAGGGACCGACATGTAAGGTGGTATGCCGACGAAATTATTCCTGTAGTTGCTTTCGCAAACAGGTTATTCCCGATCAGACTCTCGGGTAAATTGAGATATAAATACTTTTTGAAAAATATAAAAGGACTCAATAATATAGTCAACTGTTTAATCTGCCAGTTGATGGTATTTAAAATGTAAGATATTTCTTTTCTAATCCGTTCCGGTAATATTTCAATTGTAATAGACAATTTGTACCGTATATTTAAATGATTAAGGTATGGTATTTAATATTTCCAGTAATCTGAGCAAATACTGTTTTTCAAATAATGAATATGACACTGCATTGCATATATTTACCATAATATTTCATTATTGAATTGCTATAATTTTTTATTACAAAAAAGATATTATATCGTAGAATTTCCTTTTTTGTATTACAAACTGAAAACAATTTCTTCTTTTTCTTTTTTTAAATACTAGCAATGCTACTAACATTACTAATATTCCCTTTACCCTACCCACTTCCCTTTACCCTAAGTACTCTGTGTAAGATAAAAATGCTGGAGTTAAGAGTAGTTCACGACAGTAGTGGAATGGTGATTTGATCCCACGAACTTTTTGATACCAGTCTACAAACAACTGTCTTGTATATACTCGGATCCTTATCGTAACAAGCAACAGATGCTGTAAAACTAGTAAAAATTTTGCACGTATTTGTTGCTTTCTGGAGCTTGTTCCAGTGAACGTGCTTTATTAACCAGGTACCACGAACGCTTGATAATATGTCTTAAATACATGATGTTCTTTTGTTGAACGGTCTTGGACAATAAATTTTGGGTAATTTTTTGTATAGAGTCTAGGTCCCTATTAAAATTATGTCTCAAGCTGAAAAATACGGCTACTTACCTATTTATTATAAAAACGGAAAAATATAAATTACGGTTTCTGTAACTATATAATCTTACGAAACGCACTCATAATCTTACGAAACGCACTCATAATCTTACGAAACTTTGGTGGTTTATACACTATTGGTGCCTTAAATAAGCGGTCGTTTGTAAGCATTAATTAAAACTGCAATTTATGTTTAGCGGCCTTCTACTTCATGTGTACATACATGCCCGTAACGGAGAATTACGAGCATAGACTTAAAATCATAGATATAGTATAGAGATTGGCGATCGAGTCATTAGGACGAGGCCAAAATTAAAATACACCAGTGTGCGTGTAATGTGCATGTGTAAGTAACAAATAATGCTGCACCATGCATTGTCAACTTCGACTTCAATTATCGTAAAGATTGCAGTATTTTAGTGTCTTCTGATTTTACGCAGATGTTTAAAGTTAATATTTCAACCAAACTACGGCGAATCCAAACGATGTTTGCAATATTAGAAGGCTATGTATGTATGTTCATCTGAGCCCTCAGATCTTCTAAACTACTCATCATATTTTAAAAAATTGTATAGCTTATAAGCATTGTGTATTTTAGCGTACTTTAAGCTGCATAAAATTATACTGAAACTATCATGGCCGCTTGTTGCGGACATATAATGAAACATTTAAATACATACAATATTAAAAAAGCAAAACTAAAACCCAATACTTAAAATATCTAAAAGTCCTAGTTCCCGTGGTACCGTTCCTGGCTACGTCTCCTCGCTGAATATTTATAACAATTAGGTAAATATTAAAATATTGTATCAGGGAATCTAATAAGAGGTATGCATTGCCTACTTCGACTTCAATTACGTCGACGTCGTTCGACGTAAAGATTGCAGTATTTTAGTGTCTTCTGATTTTACGCAGATGTTTAAAGTTAATATTTCAACCAAACTACGGCGAATCCAAACGATGTTTGCAATATTAGAAGGCTGTGTATGTATGTTCATCTGAGCCCTCAGATCTTCTAAACTACTCATCATATTTTAAAAAATTGTATAGCTTATAAGCATTGTGTATTTTAGCGTACTTTAAGCTGCATAAAATTATACTGAAACTATCATGGCCGCTTGTTGCGGACATATAATGAAACATTTAAATACATACAATATTAAAAAATCAAAACTAAAACCCAATACTTAAAATATCTAAAAGTCCTAGTTCCTGTGGTACCGTTCCAAGAACGCTGTTATAAAAATTAGGTTATTAATATATATAATTAGGAATATTTATAACAATTAGGTAAATATTGAAATATTGTATCAGGGAATCTAATAAGAGGTATTCAGAATATTCTCGACAACATAAGTTAAAGTTGTTTTACAAAACTGAAGTATCCAACAAACTTACAGTCCACCTGATGATGGTGACTACTGCAGTCATTAGAGAGTTGCAGCTAACTTCAAACAAAGAAGGTCGTTGTCACCTCTACGGACTGAGATGGAATGCCTTACAGCTTGTACTTATACCTTATACTAGCTTATCCCACCGTTTGGTCCCTTGTCCCACCACTCAGTTCATACGTAAGCTTCAACAATTGTTAGTTAGTTAGTTACATCCTATATACGTCCCACTGCTGGGCACAGGCTTCCGCTTATTTCTGAGAGGGTTTTAGGGCAAGGAATTGTCCGCCGCGCTGCCCCAGTGCGTGTTGGCGAACTTCACATGTCTTCGAAATATTTTTTTTCTTATTTCTCTGACATGCAGGTTTCCTCACGATGTTTTCCTTCACCGCCGAGCACGTGGTAAATCAGCACTTAAAATTGCAATTAACAATTTCATTGGTGCCGGCGGGGATTGAACCCGGTTTGCTCGCGTACTACAGCGTACTCCAGCGAGCGCTAACCATCTGAGCTAGCACGGCTCACAATTACACAACAATTGTTAACATAAATCGAATGCAATAAAACGTAGTTAGTCTATGGTTTTTTATTTATAATCTACGTTGATTTCATACGTCTATTTCGTATGGCGTGTTATTGTGTTGATTTTTGGATTTTTCTAATGTTTTATTAGTGTTTAGCATAGTTTTTTAGTATTAATTTGTTATAAAAGTTTTTGTGTGAATATAATTTATCTTCTTACGTAAACAATTTCGAGTAATATATAGAAATAATTGTAAAAATGGAGCTGCTGTCCTGCGCTGAGTAAGTACTACTTTTACTATAAATATACAATTAAAATATATTTGCAATGAAGTAAAAACAGTAAAAATAGTAATATGACATAATAAATAAACAGAAACAAGTATTATATTGAAATTTGTAATGAATTTTATAGAAAATAAATGTACGACAAATTCAAGGTCAGGTTATTTTTAGCTACGCTGCTTCACGCAAAACGGGCTAGCGATGTAACTCATTTTAGCTGAGAACTGAGAGGTTACTCATGGATATATAATTATCTAAAAGATAGAAACCAACGTGTTGAAATACAACAAAATATTAACAAACGGCAGGCATTTTAAAATTTAAATCTTCACACTTACCAATTGATTACGGAGTGCCACAAGAAAGTGTTTTGGGTCCTTTACAATCTAAAACTAAATTTATACAATTATACAATGTTAAAAGTAAACCGCAATAACTTCATATTAAGTATAATGGTGAAAAAACTAGTGCAACTGAGTTCAACACATTTTTAGGTATTAGTTTACACACACAATATAATGACATAGTTTAGACAAACAAGACAAACAATATAAATATTAAGGAATTTATGGATGATAATAACCCCTGGGAAAGGTGATCGCTACCAAGCTATTTCTGATTTGTCTTGTGTTGTTAATTAAAAACATCATTGTAAGCTATTATTGGAAAAAAATTGTCCCGCTGGGTTTCTTGCTGGTTCTTCCTAGGACAGAGGTTTTTTTGCGAACCAGTGGTAAATTAAAAAAGTGACTTTCAATAAGTATTGTTATAATCTACATTGAATAAAAAAGTTTCTGTTTCTGTTTCTGCTTCTATTGAAATAAACACATAGATAAAGTATGTTCTAAAATATTTAAATTTAATTATGCTCTGCGAAAGCTAACTTCTTTCTCATCAAGAAAAACTTCTTTTATAGCATATCATGCAGATGTTGCTGCTGTATTAAGATATTGTCTCATATTATGGGGAAACTCTACAGATGTAAACCGTGCTTTTATAGTGCAAAAACGCGCTGCTTAAATATTGTATATTCTACCATAAGTTTTCATATAACAAAATTGGTGTAATATGGGATACAATATTATTTTATGCAAACATCTTTGTACCATATTTATTGTGAATAAGATTATTATTATTTTATACCCTTAATGCACCTCTATGTTACTGTTACAATCATTTAAGGTGACTGCTAAACGTAGTTCTCCCACATAGATTGGCTTTTAGGGGCATATTTGCTATAGCTGCCATGCTTAGCAAGCGGATTGGCAACTGTAGTTTTATTTTAATTTTAGTCGTTATTAGAAAGATACTGCTGCCCATCTCGTAGTTTGTTTTTCTCTGTCACCTCGTATGACACCCACGGGATGATATAGGATAGTGGATAACGTACTTTTACTGCCAATATACGCTGGGTACATCTATGAGAAAAAAATTTTTCTTCAAAGTACTTGCTGCATATAGCCAAATATTTTATTTTTGGAACCCATTCTTCTCTATTTATTATTTTCAACCATTTTTGTCGAACATCAATATTTTGTGAAAATCTCGCACAGCATTCATTTACCATTTACGATTTGAAAAATATTCAGCAAATGAACCTTAAAAATTAAAAAAAAAATACTAGGTTAAATAAAGTTGGTCAATAATCTAATTATCAACCGAAAATGTACAACATTTGTTCATCACCCGCACCTCACAGCCATACTAGTACAATATTTATAGCATCACGCTATTTTCCCTAAGGAGTTATGCGGAGCTTCGAATTATATTTCTAAGTCACAATGATAAAACTTTTAGCATAGTTATGTATAGATATTTAGTAATACTCCTGAAGTGCCGCTAAACTCTCGCGCATGAGACGCGCGGTTCAGTATGCCAGGATAGTATAAATGCCACAGTATTTGATACTCACAACGCTCTATGCCTAATTCATGCTTGATGCCCGATGACAGTGCGAGGGCTTGATAGCAAGGCTTATCGCCTACAGAGTTAGTCGTAGAGAAGAGGAACTCGTGGTTAAGTAACAGCTGCGCGGATCAATAGATTTGTGATGAGGCTACACTAGCCCTGGTCAGTACATGGATAGGTGACCGTTTTCTTAACATACCGAAGTTGAGAGAACAAATATTTCATCTGTATCCTCAGTCACTTGGTGCACTTTGTTAGCACTTTGATAGTACACTTAGTAGATGTCACTGTTAATGACATCTGGA